TTCTCTCCTCAGTAGTAGTATTGTTTTTTTTTTTTTTTGTGGTTCCTGGTGACCGCACCATGCTCTGTGTGCACTACCTCTATATAGCGGAGCAACAGCCAATGTTGGACCAAGCCAATTGCATGGGCAGTAACTTCCCTTTATTCTCCACCTATAGCGATGGCAGCATGTACATACAGAACTCAACTTTCTGGCATGTTGAGAACAGTACATAAAAAGAAAGTGGCCCCGGGTTTCTCCACACAGTTAAAGATAAGCGGGGCCCTACCCAAGTAATGGCGAGTGTCCCCTAAAAATGACTGGAATCAAAGAAAAAGAAAATAGGGAACTGACACCAACTTATGGCTACATCAAATGTATTACAAAATACAGAATAGAAATGGCAACCCAGCATCCAACCCCAAAAAACCACCCTACCTCTTCCCCCAGCCCTTCCCCAGGAGACCCAACCTCCTTCCCCCAAACCAACCTCACCCCCTGGACAACACCCCAAGAACTCCCACCCCCTGAAGCACCAAAAAGCCTGTATACTGCTTGAGGCTGTTAATCGGGACTGCTCCTGAGGTTTGGACCTTGTATGCCACAATGGGCTGAGCTAGTGAAACACCACCAGGTCTTTGTGCAGTACCACTGTCACTGTCCTGTTTCCATTCAAGCAACTAGCACCTTGTGCACAAATTACTTGTTTTCCTACTTTTATAGTCAACTGCAAAGTTTAGCATAAATGCAGATATCACCAAAACATGTACACCTGCCAAGATAGAATAGTGGAACCTGCCATTGCCAGCCTTTTTCTGAAACTCTGGCTTTTTAGAGAACTTGTGCTTCACTCATTCAGCTAGCTATGAAGAAAGGGAAAGGCAGTCCTGTATATGCTCAGGATGGGTTTCCAGTTGGAGATCACAACAGAATGGACTGCCTTCCCATAACCCCATGTGACTACAGTGGCCCAGTCACCGAGCACTGGTGCTGTCACATGCACTTCCATATTTGGTATTGTTTTTTTTGGGTGGCCAAAGTTTAGCCAAGGAAAGGCAAGATCAGTTCTTTATGCACATCAGCCTGTTCCTGCTTGGGGAGGGCACAGATTTGATTTTAAAGTAGAACTTTTGGCAAAACTGTTTATTTCATTTTGGATAGAGTAAGAAGGGGATATAAAATTTTAATACGCAATAATGAATCCCCAGAGAACTATGGGCTACCTAAAAAGGCCACACACCTTCTTTCAGGCAGTGCTGGCACTCCTCAATAGCATAACAGAGAGGTTTCGGTAAGACCCAGAAAAAGTAAGAAAGGAGACGAGTTCACCCCTCTGGGTCAAAAGAAGAATACAAGATGTTACTATGGAATGTTTCATTATTATCTGGATAGAAAAATATATTGCTTTAATGATGTATTTGTGATTCTGATCATAATAAAAAAAAAAACTTGAAACAAATTAACTGATATGAAAAAAAAGTGGCCGAGGTAAAAATAAATAATTAAAAAAAAATGTGGAATATGTGTTATGTTACTAGCAGTGTCTTTAATCATCCAAAATGTGTATTAAGCTGAAACTTTGTCAGTTGTGTAAGTATTGCATTATATATCAGGCTAGGCTGGAGGCATTTTGCTAAGCTGAATCCATATGTATAAGATTAGAGTCTAGCCGTTTAGTAATGACCTGTGACTTAAAGTCCCAGCTTTTTTATATACTGTAAGTTGGGAATAAAATGGAGACAACGCAAGCCAAAATAAAAATTCATTTTTAAGTAGGGATAGAGAAAAGCTAGAACCCCATTAAGATATTTATTTTGGTATGTATCCATGTTCAAGATTTTCCCTCACTTCTTGTATGGTGAAACTGTTGTCACCGTGACAGCAATTGAGTTGAAATCTCTTTAAAGGTCACCATACACATTACAATCTGACCATAAATCAGTTTTAGATTTACAAAAACTATGTAAAACGAGGACCTACCTAATATATTCAATCAATAGGTATCCAATCGGAAAAGTCCTTGCATGTTAAGTCTACCAACAACTATATAACGCAAGGTCCTGCTTGATTGGATAGAAATTGATTGGAGAGTTTAGGTAGGTCCCTATGTTACATAGTTTTGGTGAATTTATAAATGTTTGTATAAAGATTATACTGTCAGATCGTAACATATATGGTGACCCCAAAGCTCACCAAACACGTTGCAATCCAACTGTACAACTTGTACGAACTTCAAGGCCTCGCCTTTACTTTCCAATCAGTTTGGCAAGATCACATATTAAATAATCTTTGGCAGAATTAATGTGATTGTACAGTGATTGAGCCCTGGATAGCAATAAAAAAACCAATGGGGGTTTCTAATGCTTCCCTGCTGTATCCACAAATACAAAAAAGGTTTTGGCTGGAGGTAAGCGTTAAGCCCTAATAGGTGTATTAAATGCATTTATTCTATCAATTTTATAAAACTGCTTGTTCCTAACCCTTGTTAGTCCTTTGCTTTACTGCTGCACTTCACTGTCCTACCAGCAGGTGGCTGTAGTCAGGTGATGTATCATTAGGAGGGGCAGTAGCCATAGTTTTGCTGAGAAATCGTAAAGCAAACTACACTGAATCTAAGCACCACAAACCAAAAAAAGCTATCTAATTAATTTTTAATTTCAATAATTTTTATTGAAGGTTTCAAGAAATTTTTTTTAACAGAGATAAACATATGGTTCAGTTTAGAATGTATGCATACAATGCAGCTTCATTAGACAATTACCCCACCTTTTGGCTAGGGTCGGAGCTATAGTTGCGGCATAAACATCAGAGGTATGCTTGGGGTGGACTGAACCGTAGGGAGGTGTAGTAGGTATTGAGGGGGGTTAAACTGGGGAGAGTAAAAGGGGGGGGGAAGTGGAGGGGGGAGGGGATAGGTTGTGTGAGGATGAGGGAGATGTACCAGTCTGACGTGGATAGTTTATGCGATTGTTTGTACAGTATCACTAATTTTTAATATTCAAAGCAAATTCATACATCCATCCTTTTTTTTGCTGAAAAATCACTTTGAAAAACAACTCCTAGCATTTTGGGCTGTGGCCATCTTGAGTAAGGGCAGATGATTCATGTAGCATTTACTTCCTTGAATCCATCTACCCTTAGCTCAAGCATGAAGAAAGGAGGGCATGCTTAGCTAAGAAAACCCCTCCTCTGCTTAAGACTCCTGGGATGTACTGTATGACATCATCTGCCTAGACCTGGAAAACAGGAAGTAACTGAAATTTTTTTTAAATAAATAAAAACTAGTAAATATGATATAGCAGCATAAGGATTAAAAATAGTCAATGATGTGAATGAGTGAAGTTCCACTTTAAATGCTGTATGGGTTATGCATGTGTGACATGATTTTTTTGCAAGAGAAGATTGTGTACTATTTGCATATTAGTATCACTTAAGCATATGTTAGCATTACTTAAATAATTTACAAGTACCTGAAATCTGTTGGTTCATTTCATCTTTCATCTTCAGGGTAAACATTATACCATTTTTTTTTACTTATTTTAAAATGTCCGTCTAGCAAAGGATCACTTCAGTTTTTAAATGGATGTTTTGTAGGTGGAGCCATCAATGTCTTCTCTCTGGGCTTCCTTTTTGGACAGAGCTCCTGCAGCTGTAAATCGCCCCTTTGGAGTCAGTTTATTGCATTTGCCATAATGTAAGAGAAAAGAAATTGTGGATACATCATTATACAGGTGGTGGAAGAGTCAGCTAATTTCGCCATGAAGCTCTGTCCACCAACATTTGTAGGTGGCGCCACCAACGTTCTTCCATCAGTGCTTCAGTCCTGGACAAAGTTCCTGCAGCTATAAGGCTACGTTCACACTAGCCTTGTGTGCAGGCGGCAGAGAGGCGTTTGGGAAGCGTTTTTACTGCTTCCCAAACGCCTCTGCCAATTCTGCACATTACAGCACATGGTGCTGTTCTAACAGGAGCGTTTGCGTCGCGTCGCGGCAAAACGGACGCCTCTGGTCGAGTCAGGAGGCTTTGAAGCCTCCTATTCTCGTCTATGGTGCCGCTCCGCAAACGCCCGGCCGGCGTTTGCGGTGCGGTTGCGACGCGGTTGCGACGCGGTTTGCGGGGTGTTTGCGGAGCGGTAACACCACTCAAATGCATTATAGGCGTTTGTGGGGCGTTATTAACGCTCAGCAAACGCCTAGCAACCGCAGCTAAACCGCGCATGCGGCGTTTGCGGAGCATTTGCCGAGCGTTAAAAACGCTCCGCAAACACCGGACCAACGCTTGCCAAACGCTATAGGGGCGTTTGGCAAGCGTTGGCAAAACAGCCTAGTGTGAACGAGCCCTAAATCACTCCTTTTGGAGTCAAACATAGTTTACTGCATTTGTAAGAGAAAAGAAAGAGTGAGAACATCATTACGCAGGTGGTGGAAGGGTCAGCTTATTTCACAGTGGAGCTCTGTCCACTGCAGTCTACAAGGGACTTAAAGGTTGAACCTCTCCTTCCTCCACTATATAAAAATCCTTTTTTTTTTTCTACTCCAGTCCACTCCTTGCCTCCATTCTCACCTAGGCAAATAAAGCAGCTCCAAGTTCTTGCAGCTAAACCCCAGTGATGCATGGCCAGGGCCACCCATGTGTCCCAGCCCCGGCAGCCTCCTGGGGTACTTTGGTCACACATCCCAGAAGACTGCAGAAGTTGGAACACACAGCAGCTTGTAGGCAGACCTGCTGTTGCATCATCATGGGTTGGCTGCAAGAACCCAGAAGACAGCTGACTTCCTATGGCAAATGAAGGGTTCCCAGTGGCTGGTCACAGCATGCAAATATGTTTTTTTAAGATAACCCTGCAAAAAAAAGAAAGGATAGAAGGGGAATAGAAAATTCCAAATGGCTGAACAAGTCCATTAAAGCTAAAATGTTTTAGGTGGGCTAGACCCTTAAAGGCTATCTAAAAACCTGTTTTGTTTTTAGTTTTGTGTGTTTTTTATCTGCCTTCTTTAATATTTCCAATTTTGTTGCTGCAGTGCCTACAACCATTGTGGCAGAAACGCCGCCGGCAGAAGTGGTTCAAACCACCATATCCACTACAACAACCACCACCTCACAGAAAGGTCTTGTTAGCACAACATCTGCAGGAGCTATGAAGGAGGGGAGCCGAGGGCCGAAACCTCCTCCAGTAATGTCCACTACACGGAATCCACCACTTACTAGCACCTCACCTCTGCCGGAAAAATTTTGTGAAGCACGAGATGCCAGGGGAATCAGCTGGCCGCAGACACAGAGGGGGGTGGTCGTAGAACGTCCCTGCCCCAAAGGAACTCGAGGTAGGTTTGCTGTTTGGCTTTTATAGAATCGTAGTTGACTAAAATGTGTGTTTTGGGATTTAAGCTCATATGTCGTGTATGTGACATTTATATTTTTTCTTGGTTTGTTCATATTTCAGAAGACGACTCTCTAGTTGTTTGCAATATGTCAGGTAGTGCAGTCAGACCTTCTCTATATGAATACTAAGAGATAATATCCTACTTGGCTTGTTTGGTTTTCAAATTCAAAGCCTAAGATCAACCCTTTCTCAACCCTTTTGTTCCAGAGGGACCCTTGAAATACTCTTCAGGTCTCTGGGAACCCCTGCTTAAACCAACTCATTGAGACCAGTGGGAAAAATACCCCCCTTTATAGTGGTGGACAGAATGCCATTCTTAAGTTAAAAAAAAATCATTGGGTTCACGCAGATGGCTCTGCCTTTTGGTGTTGGCCCCAAAACTAAACAGACACCCTCAAATGAGGTCAGCCAACTACAACTCAAGCCCTAACAACCTTTGGAGGAACCTTAGGGTTCCATGGAGTCTTGGTTGAGAATGGCTACCTTAGATGGCTGGATTTCTGACAGCCAGGAGATGGAAACATCTGCACATCCTCAAGTGCCAGAACCCACAGTGATTCAACTAGTAAATCAGAGCAGGTTTAGCACTGTCTAAGGGCTATGTCAGTTTTGTGATTCTGACATCTGCAAGATCTGAGCAGTGGCAGAAATTGCAACTGCCACTTTTCTAAAATCTACTCTAATTTCTAAGCACACTTCTTTTCTAGCTGAAATGCTGCAGATTCTTGACAGGGGTCAAGGGAACAGCAGTGGAGCAACACCCTTGCTCATTCAGGACTTGAGGGGACCACATACCAACTGACAGAATCGCTGGTGTGGCTTAGGCATTAGAGGAAGATTTTGCAGGTGGTTGGGAGATATGTCAAAAAGTTTTCATCTCCTTTGATCGACTTGGGTACAAACAGCTTGTTGGATTATTGCTAGTGGCTATAGCTGCTAACAGTGATCACTCTGTTCTGCCAGGAGGGCACAAAAGCTCTGCGGGAGGGATTCCCCCATCACCACTGACTCTGTGATTTTCTTTCCTTCAACATTGCATCGTCTTTGGCCTGCCTTACTGTTCTGGTGACAAACCCAAAGTTTAAAATTTTCCATTCCTTCGACAAATTGTATCATTCTGTGTCCCTTGTTTGCCAGGAACGGCTTCATACCTCTGTCAAGTCGCCACCGGCACCTGGAACATCAGGGGTCCAGATCTCAGCAACTGTACCTCACACTGGGTCAACCAACTGGCCCAAAAGGTTTGTCACTGTCTTCTTCAGCTGACTCCACTATTAGCGGTCTAGAAGCATTTACTCATGTGTCGTATATTGACAAGCCTGATTGATTCGCATTACAGATTAGAAGTGGAGAGAACGCCGCCAGCCTCGCCAATGAGCTGGCAAAACATACCAAAGGTCCCATATTTGCTGGTGATGTCAGCTCTTCGGTAAGACTCATGGAGCAGCTTGTGGACATTCTGGATGCTCAGTTACAAGGGATGAAGCCCAGTGAGAAGGACTCTGCTGGCCGCAGTTATAACAAGGTAATCTTTGTCTGCTTTTGAATTATTAGAACTTGCTGGCATAATCTGAGATCTGCTACAGTGCTTTACTTTCTATTATGTGGCAATTGAAAAGATATCATGCCAGTGGTGTCATCTAATTTATCATTAGGTAAATGCATGATGAAAGCTCCCAAAGTATTTTAAAGAGGTTGTGTAAGCAAAACATAAAATGACTCTCGAGAGCTTGCTACAAGTTTACACAGCTGTCAATGGTCTCATGTCATTTTAGCCTTGCTGCGGGCTAGGATGCATTGTAACATTGCCACAAGGAGATGAGGGATGGGATGCAGTAAAACATTGCAGTTTATGCAGGGAAAGGGAATCACATAGAGGGCAGCAGTCAGCAGATGTGTTATCATGCAGCGTGTTTCATTCTGTGTCCATTTCAATCAGAATTATTCATTATTTTTCAATGCCGATTAGCTGGAAAAGCCATCCAAAGACATAAAAATATTTTTCATTTTGCCATACTTCCGTATACTCCTTTTTCACTCTAGGCACTATATTGATACAGGCTTATTTAGCAAAGCCATGCAAGGAGAGAGAAGTGCAGAACCCATAGCAACCAGTTAACATTCACCTGCTTTCAATATATATGTATATATATATATATATACACACACACACTGTATATAAATCTTTTTTTATACATCAACACTAATGGATCCATTCATTAAAAAAAACATTGCTGTGCGAATGTCTCAGCATTCACTCAGCCATCATGAATAATCTCTGTAATGTGTCTAATATGGTTTGTTTCCATGTTCAGCAGCCACCTTGTGGCCGTAATGCAGTATCTTCCATAAATACCTCAATCAGGACCACATTATGGCCACTAGATGGAGCTGGTGATCATAGGAAACAAACATATAAGACACATTATGGGAATCATCCTGAAGGTTGTTCAAATGCTGAGGCATTCCCTTCCTTCTCAGTGTCACACTGCACGTCTATCCGTCCTTGATGCCGGGAATCTTGCCAGAATATGGCCATGAGCTGGCTGATAAATTGATCCTCATTAAAGGGGGTTTTCTACTTTGCCTATGCAAATATTCAAATCTTTAGCTCGCACAGCAAATTTTTTTTATCAATAAACTCCTGTGTCAGCAGGACATTTTCTTGGACTCCTATCTTTTTCATTGTTTCGAGGCCCCAGAAATTGCAAGTTATCACCAGACAGAATGGTTGTGGAAAGTATGATCTTGTAAGGACAAAATAAATTCAGTTCCCATTTCTGTTCTCGAACCAGAGGTTGCACATTTCTTTTAGGTAACTGGCTCTGGTTGGTCATTTGGAGTCCAGTAAAGGCACATAGTAGGATAGGCTTGAACTGGTACTAAGCCATGCACACCATGCATATGCTGCTTCCAGAGGTTGACATTAGTCTCTGAGAACATCATAGCATTGTACAGTCTGAGGTCTTCCCATCTATGGTTGCCCCCAAGCTTTATTGATTCTTGTACTTATACTTGCTTTACTTTTTATACCTGTACTCATATCAGATTAAGGTCTCCAAAGGATGACGGGTGCTTTGAAATCTTTCCCTCGTTTGGTTATTGCATACTTCAAAACCTGATCTCCCTTTGCAGAAAAATCTCCCTTTTTAATGTAATATTCTGGTTTTCTTTCTACAAAGCTCCAAAAACGAGAGAAGACTTGCAAGGCTTACTTAAAGGTATTCTTTCCTATTACCTCCTAACGTCTTGTGGTTCCCTTCCTCCTCCGTGTCACACTGCGCGTCTATCCATCATGGATGCCGGGAATCTGGCCAGAATCTGGCTGGGAGCTGGCAAATAAATTGATCCTCATTAAAGGGGGTTTCTACTTTGCCTATAGAAATTTTAAAATCTTCAACTCGATAAAGCAAAGATAGAGGTGACATATCTTGAAGGATAAAGGTCTTCTGTTATTTCTCACCCACTAGTAATAAATTGTGATTTCTGACCAGTGAAGTAAATTTTTTTCCAGTTATTGCTTAATATACTTGGTACAAGCTGAAATCCCCCTTAATCTTAAGCCAATGCCTGACTGGCCAAGTTCTCGCTATCAGACGGCTGATCGTGCAGTCCGTGTGCATGTTAAGAGTCACCATGAGGAACCATTTGGTAATGAGATCACAGGACATTTGCAAGAAGGACACTCATTGTCCCCTAATGGGTTCAAACCCTCCCCCCGTCTCACTCTATCACTCCCACTAATATGCTATGATTAGAAATTTTATTTGCAGTATAAAAATGTGTTTTTACCGCACTGCTGTCTGTCATTTCCCTCATTATGCGTCACCTTTTGTCACAAGCTGCTGCTTATAACACTGCATTTTGACCTTAATTTCTAACTGTGTCACTGGCACTACTCAGAAATGAGTTCTTCTGGCCGGATAAAGAAAAATGAACCTCTTCAATTGCTAAATCAAAGGCCAACTTTTACTATGCAAATGTAATAGTTTTTTATTTTTTTCCTGGTGGCAGAGGAATCATTTTAAATTTGGATATGAAGTCTTGGTCCGTATTACTTTGAGATTAATGAAGTAGACCAGTTGGATAAAGTGCTATTAGCAGGAGCACTGAACTATCCCAAGGAAGCCTTTGGCACCACTTGTCTTTTAATGTTTTTAAGATGGATTAGCGTTGTATAACAAAGGTGTTCAGAATGTAAAAAAAAAAAAACCCACACAAGCATTCTTTTAGTATTCAACAACACAAAAACAGCGCAAAATCTAAAATTGAAATAACACAAATAGATAAACACTAAATTTATAATAAGTGTCAGTGAAAAAATATATATATATATATATATATATATATATATAGTCCTTATTCCCTTCAAAACCAATAAAAAATCAATCAAAAATCTTCCAAATGTGCTTCCACCTATCCACCACATGAGAAATAATGTTGACCGCACTCACCAGATGGAGGTGAGTAGTGAGCCTTATAGGGTATAAGGGATCCTATAACCCAAATCAAATCTCTTCTTCACCCTGCTATGGTATAGGAGATTTGAGTTCCTTTGGAGGGGTTATAGGATCCCTTATATCCTATAAGGCTCACTACACACCTCCATCTGGTGAGTGCGGTCAACATTATTTCTCACGTGGTGGATAGGTGGAAGCACATTTGGAAGATTTTTGATTGATTTTTTATTGGTTTTGAAGGGAATAAGGACTTATATATATATATATATTTTTTTTTTTTCACGGACACTTATAAATTTAGTGTTTATCTATTTGTGTTATTTCAATTTTAGATTTTGCGCTGTTTTTGTGGTGTTTTTATTATTGGTGTTTTTTCACTGGTGCACAGCTGCATAAATATATATTTTTTTCTTTTTTTGGCGCTGGGATATATACTTTTGATTCTTTTAGTATTGCCTACGGAAGAACCTGCCTAAGCATTTTAATCACTAGAAGGGACATTTCTTACACCAGTGATAGGTCTGGGCCACAAAAATCCTGACGAGATTTGTAGGTCCGTCATTGAACAGTTAACTTTTTGCAGCCTATTCATCTGGCTACAGAATCACCATCTTCAGTACCACTCATGTTGACATCCTAGGTACATCAATGGTTTGTAGCTGCTTAAGCTGGCCATTGATGGAGCGATTTTCTTTCTTGCAACTATGGGTTGCAGGAAAGAAAATCCCTCAATTGCCCCATCAACACAGTCTCTCCTGGTGGCAGAAGCCGTTCCCACCCAGAGAACACAGTGATTATCGCTAGCAACTTTAACAGGCATTGGCAATAATCACATGTAAAATCTGGCAGGCCTGCCCATACATGGTTCAAAGTTTTTAGATGAGCATTGTCATCCACTACAGCAGAAAATTTGTGTCATCTACAAGTCAGCAGAGAAGACAAGTAGAGGGGTTGGTAGCTGCTATAAATTTTCACAATAGTGTGGCTAGTCCTTAGATTAGGAGATCCTTGACAGTAAATATAAGCTTGACTTTGTCCTATTCCTTGCATTGGATAAGTAGTTAGTAAATGGTTAGAGCATTGCTGACATCCTAAATGATGGCCCAATGCTCCGAAGACGGAGTAAATATGGAATAGTAATGATCCACTGGCTAAACGTTTGCTAGGCCTCATCTTAATGGGGTCAGCTGAGTGAGCACAGTACTGCTATATACTTGGACAGAGGTGGCCTTTCTCTGTATAGGTATTAGCTCGCTATTTATACTTTATCATAACAATCTAAGCTTGGTCAAGACTAAATAAACAAGAAATGTCATGTGTAAAAGGAAAAAAAAAATTGCCATCTTCATTGCTAATAATGACAGGGAAGAGAAGGGGCAGATTACAAACAGAAACTACAGTTTGTGTAGATGGGAGAAGTTGTACTGAAGGCAGCCAATAGTATGAACGGATCGTGAATGAAAAGGCGCACAAGCTGTTTATCTAATTTTACGCTCTTCTTTTACATTTCTTTATCTGTGTAGAAATGCCATTTAGAGAAAAAAATATATTTCTATATTTTTCATTAGCATTTTTTAATTGTTCTTCCTTTATTAATTTTTGTCACATTTACTCCAGATCGTATACTGACAGTCAGTCATGCAACCAAATAAATTTCTGGCTAAATTGTGTGTTCAGAATGTCAGGATCTGTTTAAAAGGTTTATGTTTTTAAAAATTTTTTATTTTTTTTAATGCAGAAAAAAAAGTAATGAGGCCTATAATAGTATTACAGAAACAATTAATTCAAAATAGTTCCGCTGACAATTTTAAAGAATACCAAAACTCTTAGGCAGGCCGTAGATGATGCAGGAAAGAAAATTGCTCGATTCCCTTATCAGCACAGTAAATGTTGATGGGGGAATCCCTCCCGTGGAGCTATTGTGTTCTCCCGGGGGTGAATTCGGGGAACTGTCCCTGTCGGGAGAACACAGTGATTATTGCTAGCGGCCATAGCCGCTGGCAGTGATCACATGCTAGACGTCCAACATGCTAGTTGTACCCAAGTTGATCAATGGATTGACTTGGGTACAATCAGCTTGCCCATGGATGGATCAAATCTATGTAAAGCGCTGAGCAAACCGTTGGCGCTATATAAATCCTGTATAATAATAATACATCTCAGCCGACCCCTGCTGAACTGGCTGAGATTCAAACCATCTATAGCAGATGTTAGTGGGTTTTTTATTCTTTTTATAACCTACTGCTTTTGTAATACACATAACTCAAGCCACAAAAAAGTTCCATATTTTCCCTCCTTATGTGTATCCTTGCAATTGTAGTGGCTGATCAATGGCTGCAATTGTAGTGGCTGATCAATGGCTGCAATTGTAATGGCTGATCAATACAGTCTTTCTTTCTCCTATTACTGTTTATAACTCCCCCTTCTTTATAAGGCACGGCATGTTGCATCTGACATCTCTGGCAGGGTTGTGTAATCCATGCCTAGAGAGAAACAGACCGATAGTTGGTTAAGCCTTTAGCTTGATTGAATGCTTTTGGTGGAGCTCATATCAATTGTGTAGCTTTAAAATCTGTTTCCATTTATGTTATTTTGCATGTCTGAATCTCAGAGACTGAGCTCCAAGTTGCACATGCTCCGTCTTCACAATCGGGAATTGACAATAAACCTGTCGGCTGCAGTCGTTATCTTTACACCCAGTTACAGAGCTATTAGTGGACAGATGAAGGAGGCCAAGAAGGGGCAAGCTGGGTTTGCTCTCTGTATGGTTTCCTCAACATTGAAACACAAACAGTTGTAAATGGTTTAACATCCCTCAGTGGGTCACTAAGCCACATTTGCACATAAAATTAAATGACTTTGTGCAGAAATGTATCCTCAGCGTTGTTTAATTTGGGACTGTTTTGTTCTTGTCAACCAATTTAAAATAGTCAAATTTTTTTTTTCTTTTTTTTCTACTGTGCACAAGTTACAATACACACAACTCATCTCAAATTTATACGGAGTTTGGATGTTTTATTCATTTTTACATTTTTTTTTTGGTTCACCATTTCCTTCCTTGAAGATAATGCTGTGCTTTCTCTGTCTTAAATTCCTTGCCACAATTAATTATTCACTCCTTACTGGTACCCTTCTGCCCTAGCCCAGTCGCTGATTTCATCATACAGAAGACCCCTTGCCTTGGTTTAACCACTTATGGTTTACCTTAATTATGTTCAGGAAAACAATGAAATTTATAATGAAAAAGCAAGCTTTAAAAAATTCTTACCCACATAATAGTATCACCTTCGAACAGCATCCAGGAAGTAGATGCTGAGCATAGATCATACCTGAACAAAGATGGTGCTGGCCCTCTTGTCATAAAAAGTAGATGAACACCTTGCCAGGGAAAGTACTGTGATCTCTGTGAGAGGTAATAAATACCCGTGTGTTACACTTTCACATTACATGGCTGCATGCATAACCTGCATTTACCATGAACAGATATATTTTGATGCTAAGTCCTCTAAAGTGGCAGAAATTCTTTGCTTACTGTATGTCCTTGTCCTGCAGAGGAGGTCTCAGATGGGATGAGTTTAACTTGAGTAGGAACTAGTCATGGCAGAGATTCCTCACCTACAATCCCCTCATTAATCAAATTCTTTAAGTATCTCAGAACAGTGTGTGCAGTCAAACAGTCTTTAATCTAGGATCCAACCCATGTGCATAATATCTTGGTATGGTGCCTGGTCTAAGTGCACTTGAAATATACATCAAATTTCTGGTTTATACATTCCTTGGCAGCTACTTTATTCCATAAATGCAGCATGACCAATAATTACAGAGGTATTTTTCTTTTGGCTATGTTATGCATATTTTTTTTCTCCTCTTTATAGTTTACTGGCAAGCTCTCTATGTATTTATTTTAGCTGTGGTTGTGCTGTACGGCTTCATTATGTGCATGTTCTTCCTTTCAGGTGTACGCACATTTTTTTTCCGATTTCCGTCCAAATAGATTATAGTTTGCTTACATTACCCTGACCTTCCATATTTTTCAGATGCCACTAAGTAGCTCCTGGTGGCTATAGAGGGACCTAACGGGGCTTGTTTTTTCCAATAGGCAATTGTTGACACGGTGGACAACCTGCTAAGGCCAGATGCTCTTCAGTCTTGGAGGGATATGAATTCTTCTGAGCAAACCCATGCTGCCACCTTGTTGCTGGATACTCTTGAGGAAGGAGCTTTTGTACTTGCGGACAACCTGGCAGACCCAACAAGGGTCACAATGCCCACAGAAAATATAGGTAAATTTCTAAAATACACCTTTCTTTCATCTGTGACATTTCATTGTCTGAATATACAACACTAATACCTATTACACTCAGTTTAAAGGCCAAAGAGAAGCGTGGTCTATAATGATAAATTGAATTTTAGCATTGTTAGAAAATCTGACGTGAAATCTGATTACTGTGGGCAACAAATCTGCCAACTTAGATGTAATTTTTCTTTCCCTGTAGCCTTGCCTTTTTAAATGCTTACATGATATAGCCACCTACTTGGTACCTAATGAAACACCTACCTTTCCTCTTCCTAATGGTCTCACTGCAAGCTCCAGGCCTCTTGATACATTCATGATGGTGAAACTTTACTGAATGATCTCTACTCTGATATGGAAAGATATGTACCCACTCCAATATTGAATGAAACCTGTATTGAGTGAAACATTGAAGTTGGGCATTCTTAGGTGGGGCTGCAGCATTCTACATCTCAGTCTAATTAAGCTGGGTGGGATCTGAAGTCATTGGCGTGTACTTTCTGCCTGATGTCTACCCTGATGACATCTTTGTAGTGATTTGTACATTTACGTTTGGCCAAATCCCAACTTGTGTAAAGGGTTACAGATTGTAACACTTGCTCAGGTCAAACAATACTTGCTTTGGAAGGATAATACATCAGCCCTTGTGCTGTCTCAAAACATTCTCATTATGCATCTGAGTAATTGTGACACAGCAGTAGTGTTCAAGCATGCAAAGTTGACTCTTTATTGGCTCTGAATGGTGTTATTACTGTTGCAGTTTTACCCCATATTTTGGCGCCACCATCTACTCGGCCAGTTCTTCCAGGTTCATGATACTTCTCTTTGCAGGAGTTAAATCATCCCCAGCATTCGGCAGTGTTCTCAGGCACCCTACAGATTCCAGGAATGAGACAGGACATACACTACACTTCACATGCACCACAGGCTGTATACCCTAGAAATAAAATGCTAGGACACAAGGGGAAAGTGTTCATTAGCAAAAACATGCTGGTTTAGAGCACATTTTTCTAGGAAGCAAAACTACAGCAGCCTCTCAAACTCGCCAATCCAAGACTTTGACACTTCTTGGCACTACTAGTGTTTACCCAACCTTTCCTGCCTCTTATACATACCTATTGGTCAGTAAGGCTGCCCATCACAGTTTTTGGCCAATAAAACTGTGTGGGGGTGAGGCTTAGCATTGAGTTCCACTACTGCCTGGAAGCGTTAGAGCTTTTCCTCTATGACCCTCTATGGGAAAGTTTAAGAGGCTACTCTAACTGCTTGCACTTTACAACTGAACTCCAGGTATGAATTTTACTGCATAGTTACAACATAAGTATGCATAAGTCGTACCTATAGAACTGCGGTGGAATCCATTACTATGGTGATCACCACTGTCTTCCAGGACCTGATCTCATGATGTCACCACCCCGCCTCTCCACCTCATTCATTTACTGAGATTAATGCAAGGCATTCTGTGAATGGCACCCGTGCTGCGCGAGCAGCCTCCTGTGGTTCCTATAAAGCAGGACAACTGGAAGACTGTGGTGACTACTACTACACGGCTAAAATACAATCCATACCTCAAGTTCAGCTTCAGACCTTTACTGGCAGACCCTTCAAGGGAAATTTTTATTTTACTGACAGGTTCCCTTTTTTGAGAAGGGCAAGGTTTATATCTGCACGTCAGTCATACAGAAAGAGCAGCATGTTGTCTTCCATCTTCGTGTAATTATTAAACTTCATTAATTGTTAATTAACGAGGGAGGATTACTGTGATTCTTCTTCTATTAATTGAATTTTTGTTTGAAAAAGATGACTGTGCAGGGAAGGCATCCTGTGTAAATATTTTCCCCCCCGCACAGCAAAGTTTAGCTTTGGGAGCGTGAAGTGGAAGGTTTAAAAATTCCCAGGTTTGGAGATATATTGAGTTGTTCTAAGCCTTCCGAATGCCAAAAGAGCAAAGAAAAAAAGAAGAATATCTTATAATGTAACATTATAAGACTATTAGGAGCAGTTCTGCAGAGTTCAGTTTCAATGTGCCTTTCATAGAGTCTGAGCATGGTTTTTTCTTTAACAAGGGGCTTTAACAGAATGGTTTCAGTGTTTTTCCCCCCTTGCGCACATGTTGAGTTGTGTTCATAATGGCTGCATTGTAACCATCGCTGTATGTCTGTCCTCTCTCCTTCACCACAACTAGTCCTCGAGGTGGCTGTGCTCAGTACAGAGGGCCAGGTGCAAGAGTTGAAGTTTCCTCAGGGCAATAAAGGAGGTAACCTGATCCAGCTCTCGGCCAACACCGTCAAACAGAACAGCAGAAATGGTAAGTTGCCGGTCACGTGGTTTTCTTGCCATTGTTCCGCCGCTTAGATCTGTAACCTAAGGATCCCAATTGTTTATTAGTAAATGCCAACTTTTCTTTCTTTTAAGAGCTGTGGAAACATCTGTATGGCAGCTCTAGTTTCTGCCGTGCTTTGCAACGTTCTGCAGAGTCTTTTTAAACAGACTTTGTTTTGTTGGTTTTGGTTAAAGAGGACCTTTCTTCTTTAGAGAGGCTACCTATGGATTTACAAGCAGTGAGCTAATAATCGTTATTTGGGTGTTGTTGTGTCATTTCGTTTTTCTTTAAACTGTGGAGAAGTTACTATACATCCAAAACATTTAATAATCTATTTCTAGTTTAGAAGTTTTTTTTATTTTTTACGTTTCAATAAGCAAACATTTTTTATGATGATGGGCGATGCCTTCTAAGTTCCTTTCTACTGTGGAGAAGTAATAATACATCCAACACATTTAAAAATCTATTTATATATTAGATTTTTTTTTCTTAGGCTTCTTTTACAAGTTGTTGTCAATAAGCAAATTTTTTGGGTGATGTCTTGTCAGATCCTTTTCATTTCTATTGTGGTGAAGTTAGAATGCATCCAACACATTTAAATATCAATTTATAGATTTTTTTTTTATATATATATATATATATATATATATATATATTTATTTTATTTTTGTATTTTTTTTTTAATTTTAGAGTATCAGGTAAGCAAAATGATTTCACGTTTTCTACCTTGAGAACATTTGTGTTCTTTTACATTGCTTGCCCCCTTTGACAGTTCATTTGACTCTGCCCACATGCCATGTCTGATCTTTTCATACAAAAAAAACATACCTCGAACATGGGGCTCTGTTGTGTTGGTAAAGACACAATGATGGTCCACCAAGACCTTTTTAAACAGATTTTGTTTAGCTTGCTGTAGCTAACGAAGGCTGGTCCCCTTATTAAGCACAACCCCTTAATAGGTTAGAGATATTGTCTACCTACCGATTTACAAGCAGTGATGTGATATTCCTTTAGTACAGTGGTTACTATCCTTAGTCCTCATGTACCCCAACCGGTTATGTTCTCAGGGTTTCCTTTATCTTGTAGAAGTGCTTTAATACAATGTCAATGGCTTGGGATTCAGGAGAACTATTTTATCTAAGGAAAATTCCCAGAACATGGCCTGTTGGGGTACTGAAGTTGAAAAACAGGTTTAGTATGTTGGTTCCTTAATGCTTGCCATATACAGGCATAATGTGGTTCCAATTTCATCAGTTGCACCAACAAATTTGTCCATTTGTCTTTTGTGTATGTTTTCTGTTGAAGAAAATTGTTTTCTTGTATCTGTCTTTCCAACTGAAGATCCTGATGGTGATTGTACACACATTTACTTATTTCTTGAACCCAGAACCAGTGTTTCAATATTAGAAACAATGGTTCTATGTTTTGGTGTTAGAAACAAATGTTTTCACTAGATTGTTCCTTTGTATGAAAGGATTGCTATGTCTGGTCTTCTAATGTCCATACAGGTTATAATCTGATTGTACAATGTCTGTATACTCTAATTTACATTTAACAGAACTTTTTAAACAATACATTTAGTTTATTATATCTGGTCAGGTAGGCATTCATACTACTAATTTGTTGGTAGACCTAAGGGAGATTGTACAATCAGATTGTATTGTGTGTTCTTAGCATTATGCCTTTGGCTAGCCTAAGAAATAAAGCCTTTATAAAGCCTTACTTTGTGCCTTATGCTTCATTTCTTGTGCACTGGAAACTTGTGTATTGGTTGAGCTACACAACTAAATTTGGCCTTATTGCCATATGTGGGCGTATCTTGAGATGTTTACAATGTCTGAATGGTAACAGTACAGTTGTGCCTTTTAGTTGAAAGCAAGGTGCAAGCACAGTATGTCTATTGCTGGGGACAAGGAAGTGAGGGGACATTTTCCACTGGATACAACTTTCTAAACCATGATTGTTTCCTAAGCAAGGGATAAATCTCCCCATTGAGCACAAAGGTGGCAGCAAATCCTCACAGAAGTTCTAAATCCTCCACCACTTTCTGGGTCTCTGCATACATAACCAAGCAAGATGGCTACAGAAATAAGCTAGTTTAGTCTTGTGGCTCGTTCACCTGTATTTAGGACTGGTTAGTATATTACTGGTGTTGAAATTACAGGTGGATGCAAACTGCTCTAGCCACAAAGCTTGTACAAAGCTATGACGGGCTGACAAGAGCCGCAACTACACACCACTGCTCACATGTATCAACACATCCTGCAGTTATGGATAGATCATGGACACAGATTACATCCAGGGCCAGCCATCTGTCCCTAACCACAGGCATCCACTCTCTGCCCTTAACTGAAGGTGTGAATGAGCCTTTAACGCAGAATTCCAGATATGGCAATTTTTACAGAGTTTCATTAATCCAGCTTTGTCCAATGTAAGTATACATTATGTATAGACCATACCTGTAGGATCTCATAGGAAGGTGGTATCTCATAGGAAGGTGGTAATCACTGTAGTGGACACAGTTACCCCAGTAATCTCCATTAGCTTCCAGGTTCCCAACAAATTCATCCAACCAAGCTGGACCAAAGTTGGAGATCAACCAACAAAGATGGAGCTTGTCCAGCCAAGCTGGACCACTGTAACTACATGAAAATTGCCATAGCTGGAGTTCAACTTTAAAGCATGTTTGAAGCAATCTTTTTACAGAGTATGGAATGGTTAAGAGCCTTGTTGAGTTGTATTTTTTACTGTCCATTGAGAAGATTTTCTTTCTGTGTCTCGGAGGCAAGTGGGAGGGAATATTTCTAAAGTAAAAGAAAGCCTTTACTAAGCAGTTATTGTCCTTATTGTCCTTCAATTTCTATGACAGTGGTCACCAAGATAAATGAAGAGGGTAAATCTGGGGACACATAAAGCAATACAAGCCAGATAGAGAATCTAACTCTTCTCTACTATATATACATATATACTAAATGAAAAAGTGGCTTTTGATACACTTTACACTTCTTACTTATGGTGGAAACCATGTCTATACGTTCATGAGCATTGTGTTCTCCCCTCTACTCTAGGTCTGGCCAAGCTGGTCTTCATCCTGTACAAGAGTCTGGGCCAGTTCCTCAGCACGGAGAATGCCACCATAAAACTGGGAGGAGAATTCGCCAACAGCAACCACACCATAGCCGTCAACTCCCACGTCATCGCCGCCACCATCAACAAGGAATCCAGCCGCGTCACTTTATCGGATCCCGTGCACTTCACACTGGAACACATCGACGTGAGTGATCCTATTTTATTCTTTATGTGCAAAGCTTTGTCAAAGGGAGGATTTCTTGAGGGCAAAAAAAAGGAAGGAGGGGGGATAAAACGAAGTTTCTATTAGGATCTGAAGTGCGCCTCTAGGTCACAGGAAGAATTTCTTTGAGTCATCGAACATAAAATTAAATGAAAGCTGGATCAGTGATTATTAGAACTTAAGTGTATTCTTAATGAAAGCTAATTCGCTGGCAACATGAAAATGTAAATGAGCCAAGTTCATTTGTGAGCGAAAATTAACTCTTACCTTAGCAGCAGGGCAGCTCCATCTAAACTCTGATTACACTGTATAAATTAGCAGATTTAGATGCCTCCGAGTGTAAAATCAGCTTTGGATGCCAACCTCAGGGAGGAAAGCCGTGTAAATAATGGCACTTGCTGTAATTCTTTTAAATACTTTTTTTTGCTTCTGTATGGAAATCTTCATTACCTTGCTGAGTAATTATAGCAGAATTAGTCTTTTGCCTCTGTAAAACAAGTTGGGTCTGTGAACTTTGTTTCATTCCAAAAGAAAATTTCACGTCTTAGGACAACACAATTTTAAATGGAGTGTAACCTGCTTATATTTTTCCTTTCCTGTTCCCTCCTTTCTTCCCCATCAAATGCTAATAACATTTTCACATGAAACCTTTCCATTTTTACAGCATACCTTGTTTTAGAGCCTGTAACTTCATCACTGGGTCACAGTGGTTCTCTGTGTAATGCAAGCAGATCATGGGACAGGGTGCTGTACTTAGCTTCCTGAAAACATCACAACACCCTGCCTCCATTCTCGTTCTCTCTCCTTAATTCCTTAATTCGCTCCCAAGAATACCCTGTGGTGAGTGATGTCAGAACTCATGGGCAGTGGGGACCTGACTCACTTTAACATATGGCAGTGTCTGGGCCTAGTGATTACTCATTTTCCCCAGGCTCTTTATCATCTGAAAATATCTTCATCAACACCTCCATCATGGTACAGGAGATGGGCAGAGACTGTGGACATGGTACAGGAGATGGTCGGATTGTGAACATGTTACAGGAAATGTCGGAGACTGGGGACATATTACATCAGACTCCTAGAAATCACTGTTATAACAGGGCCATAGGAAAACACATATTATTGCCTGCAGCAGGGGCGGACTGACCATTTGGAAACTCGGGCACTGCCCGAGGGCCCGGGGTCAGTAGGGGGCCCCATGAGATACCCCTGGTACCTTTTTTCATAGGCTTTTTTGAGTTTGGGAAAGGACACAGGGGTCCCCATGATCTCCTATTTCCCGGGTCCCCATGAGTTGTCATTCCACCCCTGGTCTGCAGTGGCCTTGAGGGCCTCAAAAAATTACCAAAGGTTCGAATGTGGCCCCCTGGGCTGAAGGTTGGATCTTAAAGGGAGTATTTAATTTGACGTACACGTGTCTTTTGATTTCTATGGTTGCCGGGCAAAGGTCCTGCTGTAGATGCCTGTCCAGTCTTATCTGTGGCAGCTCTTTACCCCAACAGCCATGTTTTCCCTGGAAAGATATCAGAGTGGGGTTTAGATCTCACACATCCCTCTTCACCCATTATATAAAAAGTCTGACTCCTGGGACTCCTGTTTTATCCTTTTATAGACTTCTACAGAGAACATTCCACCATCCAGGTAAGCAGCAGCCACATGAACAGCGAGAGTAGGAGTTGCCAGATGAACGTCACCATTCTGGATCTTCTCAAGAGGGTCACCGAGGCAAATTGCTGAGGCTGTTCTTGCCCTACCACCGAAAAAAAAAGACGAGTAACAGATAATGCATAGCTCTGGATATTGCTCTGCCGATGAAGCACGTGAAGAATGACTTATTAGCTCATTTCTCCCACTCTGCCTGCCACCAGTGAGGCAGCAGATTTTTTTCTTTCCTGAGGTTAAGGCAGATACGGCAGAATATTGCGGAGTTTGTTTGCTCCCTCTTGTCAACTCCCTTTCTCTGTAACACTGAGCATATTTCTATAGTGCTTTATCTCATTCAGCTCTAAATAATGGATTATCTGTCCTTGAGAGAGAAGAGCTGCAGCTAAGAGTTGTGGAAAAAAAAGAGAGCCTTAGAGACCAGGAATGATCCTGATAACAGGGTATAAGATCTAAAACGCTCACGTAAAAAGTTCAGACGTTCTGCGCTCGGCATATCCACTTGCCAATGAATGGAATGGCTTTGTGGCAATGGCAATTCTGGCACAAAATGGAGGCTGGGTTGTGCCACCCATGTAGTTACTTTGAGATGTTTTTGTTGACTTTATTGGCTAGTAAGAAAACAAATTAGCATAGAGTGAAGGATTCCGATGACAGGATATTAAAAGCTAAAACGTTTTGGGGGTGTTGGTATGTTTTTTTGCTCAGTTCTAATGACTACTTTGTCAGAGCCAGCAGGATGCAAATTGCTAATGCTTAGGACTCATCAGAAGTCCATTCATTTTTCATAGTCTAGCAGCAGACCTCCAGCTTACCCTTCAACCACAGTTGTACAGGCTTCTCTCCGGTACAGAAAATCCTTAATTTGAAGTCATTGCACACTGTAAGCTTCTCATAGTGTGCTTTAGAAGAAGCTGCAGCACATTAGATGGAGCCCACCTCAATTCCTGGCTGTAGAAAATCCAGTATCATTCAGCCACTTCCTCTCCTGCCTGACTGCCCCTGGCCCAACCCTTTCACATATTGGATTTCAGTTCTTTCAATCATGAAGGCTCAGCATCCCATGTGGGCATTATCTAGGGTGGTCTGCATGCAAATGCAGCCTGCCTAGGAACTCCCATTCCTCCAGACTGACATCCACTCATTGAGGCAATTTGATATTTGCGAAACTGCTCTCAAGAGCTCACTTCTTGTACCAAGGCTGATGGCTTTTGAGAGAAGTACTGAACCAGGGTGGCTTGATGTTTTCAGGAAGCTATATATAGTCCCCCTGCAGGCCCATCCCATCAGCAATGATCTGTCTACATTGCTTAGAGAAGCACAGAGATCCAATGATGACATCACTGGGTTTTAAAATACTGTAGTAAAAAACAGGTTTTATTAGCATGATGATGATGTTAGCTTTAACATGCAAAAAGAAAAAAAAATATATGCATTACACCATAGTGCACAGCATGTGCAATGTAATGTGCTGCAGCATGTTTCCAGTTAATATAGTTTTGATTGGTTGCCAATCAAAATGAATAGCACAACAGTTCATGCATGTTATCATAATGCATCAGTTTTGATGAGCCCTCAATGTTTGTTGAGCCTTCATCTGTTGTGGTTAACAAAAGTTTTTACCGATTAAATAGTTATTCCACCCAAAACTAAGGTCAATTTTGGGAGATTTCAGAGAGTTGAATAACTCAAATCTCAGGTGATATCTCCTGGCTCTGCACACCCTCTGTGCTCGTTATGGGGCTTTCCCACCACGCCTGCTAGATGTGTATTTTCTTTTATATTATGGTAAGTATATAGGTATCATGGGTAGATCTCACAGGTGGAGTAAATATGTAAGAAGCCAGGGTTTGACTCAAACTACCAAGCTCCATCTATAACCAAAATATTACTTTTGAGTAGACTGATCCTTAAATATGTGCTGGCTCCTAGAGAAGAGAAATTGTCCTTTTATTTGTCCACCCTTCACCGTATAGACATGTATTAGTTGGTATGAGCAGCATTTTGGTCAAGGTTTTGAAATTGGTTTGATTCTGGGAAATCATGATGCCTTTTTGATACTAGAAATTATTTAGCCATTTTCCTTTTATTATTAAAGATAACAAGCTTTTGTACTGAATTGTTTGTTCTCTTGCAGCCCAACAATTATTTTAATGCCAACTGCTCCTTTTGGAACTACTCTGAGAGAACCATGATGGGATATTGGTCAACTCAAGGTTGCCGTCTTGTAGAAACAAATAAAACCCATACAACCTGTGCTTGTACCCATTTGACGAACTTTGCGATACTTATGGCGCATCGAGAAATTGTTGTAAGTACTATGACAGAACAATGGAATATTGTTATATTATAGCAGAAGTATTTATGCTGTGTAATGATATTCAAAGGCCGCATTTACGAACATTGGAGCACACAAAAGCTGGTACAGCAGTGCCTACAGTAGTTAGCAATGGGCTTCTAGGTTATATTGTCAAACTTTAATTGAACAAGCTGAAGTTAGAAGCTGATTTATTTAGTAAATCCCTCTCAAAGTACATAAGGAATCCAATATGAAACTAATGCTGCCACTAAAGAAATCTAGATCTGCCAGTGCCGATGGCACTCATAGATGTGATTCAACAGGCAGTTATTCAGCTTATTGGGTGTTGATGTCTTGATTATGGACTGAAATAGGTAAATATGAGGCCCTGGACTCCAGATCTTTTCAGCCACCAGAACAGAAGATGTTGGTTGTCCTTGGTGGCTCTAACACCATGCAGGGGCCCTTTTAAGAGGCGATGACCTCCCAAACTGAGAAATCCAACTTAAATCAACAGAGCTCCAGTTGGTCAAGTCCACAATTAGGAGTAAAAGTAGCCAACATGTTTTGGAGACCAACAGTCACCCTTCATCAGGGTTCAAATGCAAAGGACAGTGCTTCCTATAGGGCTGAAATTAAAAGTCTCTTGGGTAGTGTTCTTCGTCAGTCGTGATAGACTTGTGCTAGAAATGTTTGCCCAATCCATTAATGCACAAACATTTCCTAGACAAATATTTGTCAGCCAGCATGTCCTTGGGAGGGGAACCATTGCTCGAGCAGATTCTGAAGCCTATTCTAATCATAACTATTCAGCCATCTCGAGCTGAGAGAGGCTTGAATAGTCAATAGGGTCTTTTCTTCTGATTGATTTGTTTTTGGTAAGTTCAATAGAATGTTATGAAAAGATAGATTTATTTTGTATATTATTTTACGTGGCTGTCCTTTTTCGTTTATGAGCCTTTTTTTGTTCATGTATAACTTTATCAAAAATGTAATGTGCTGCCCTGATCTCTTGCAGTACAAAAACCAAATGCATGAACTTCTCCTTACTGTCATCACCTGGGTGGGCATTGTCATCTCCCTGGTCTGCCTTGCCATCTGTATCTTTACTTTCTGCTTCTTCCGTGGCCTCCAAGGGGATCGGAACACCATACACAAGAATCTTTGCATCAACCTGTTCATTGCAGAGTTCATCTTTTTGGTGGGCATCGATAAAACCAACCACGAGGTAAGGATCTTAAATGATGAAGGCTTGGTTTTATTTGGCTGCTTTAATTATCTTAAAGAAATGAATAGCTATTGAGGGCCTAATGGCAGAAACTTGGCACTTCCTGGTATGAGAGATCATGTGACCTCCTCTTGTGGTCCAATGCTCGGGCAATTATTAGGCCAAAACACTTGTCACATGTGGAGAAGGATGGTGTCATAAGCCGTTGATAGAGATTTTGTCACTTTGCCTTGAATCTCTTTAACTCTGTTTTGTGTTGAGTTCCTGAAGGGGACTGTGCACTTTGTAAACTGATAAGTATTTAAGTAGGTTTACAGAAGGTCCAGAGTGGTAGTCTCGGATGTGATATTGCTCAATTGTACCCGAAACAGCAAGCAGGAGGCAGGGCAGTGACACAAAATTTAAGGAACTGGTGGTACTGAATAATGGTTCCATCCTCTTTGTTCTATTGAATTTTGTAGCACAATAGGGTGGACATTACTGTAGATGTTACTCTGCAAATCTTTTGGTAGGTAGAACAGTTACTTTACAGGTGCTTTCATCTGTTATTTGCTCCCTTTTGGTTTGTAAATATACCCTTGAAAGCATTTTGTTATCTGTTTTATTAATTTGGAAATATTTTGGCAGAAATCCGCTGAGCGCCTATCTTCCTGGTTGTTTCTGCTGCACTAAATTCCAAACCAGTGTTATCAGCCACCTCTGTGAACTACAGAACCCCTAATCCCCGCTCCTCTGTATTTTGAAGGGGGGCAGTATCCTTTAGTCCAAATTAGAATAAGCATCCTAGTTTGACAATGCTGCTCCTCCATAGATATGGTGGAGTGAGTGAGCGTTGTCACCCTAGACACCTTAAAAGTGTGTTATAGATAGGATTCCTAGGGAAAAAATAAAGGTAATAAGCCTTAGAAAAAACTAATGCGGCCACCTCATTGGTTAGCTGCAATATTTAAAATTTTTTGTTCTAAGGTTCAGATGTACTGTTATTTGTTTTTTTAGCATTTTGAATGAAGCTGCCAATTCATTCTTCAGGTGCTGTGATATATACTTGTTGTTTTGCTTAGGAGAAGGTAACAGATGTTGTAACGCATGCATGCATATTATGAAAAATGACATGAATCTTTAGGAAAGACCTGAACTTTTATACTACAAATATGTGCATTTGTAATCCATTTATCTCTCATTGAAGGTTATATATGTTTTTCCTGGATTCTGTAGAAGGGTTAAGCACATAGCTGTTAGCCAAAATTTGTAGCTGTTGTCTGAAAATGACGGCTTGGCTTTGTGAGATTCTTTTATGGCCAAATGCTTTATAGGTTTTGTTGGAGTTAGCCATTAAGGAGATAATGTCAACTTGCACATGTAGGCTGTAATAAAGGCCTAACAGCCGAAACGCATTGCCATTTTCAGTGGATGTTGTGCATTGTTCCTTAGAAACAAAGAAGATTTATTTGTGGATACTACATGATACAAGGTAGCCATGTCTCTGCAAAAGGCATGAGCCCAGACCTGCACTCTATTGCTGTGCTATGATTCTCCACAGCTGTCAAGAATACCTATCACTCCTGGATATGAGGGAGCATGTCACCTTCTCCCTGTGGTGGTGCCTGGATCCAGCAGCCAATCACCAGGCCCATGAACTGTCACATGACTTCTTTTGCTTGCCAACACAACTAATTTCCATGGTGGCTACAGAGGGGCAAGGAGTTGTGAAAGAGCACAGATAGTGAATATAAGCAAAGCCCCTGATCACTTTTACCTTGTATCAGCAAACTGACGGTGTCTCTTTAAAGTGGAAGTTCAGGCAAAACCTAACTAAGGCTAAACCTACCCCCACCCCCTTTCTAAGGCTATTCTGTCTAACCTTGTAAAGAAAAGATCTGTATACTTGCCTATTCTGAAACTTGACCAGTCTCCAGTGGCAGTTTCTGTGTACAGCCGAGATTGCCGACAATGGCTGATGTCGCCCATAGACTTACTATGGGACATCTATTATCCGCTGCCCCTTCTTTACACAGAACCTGCCACTGACAGCTGATCCTGGGACCGGACAAGAGCTGCTTTAGAATAGCTAAGTATGCAAATCTTTCCTTTACAGTGTTAGATAGAATGGGGGTGGAAGTAGGGTTTAGCCTTCGTTAGGATTTGCCTGTACTTCCATTTTAACCGTATTCTCTTTACCGTATAATCCAGCCGAGGTTGTTTTTCCCTTTTAAAAAAGAAAATGTTAAAAAGCAGATTGACTATAATGTAATAATAGCTTTTACCATTGTCTTTACTATTCCACAAATTTTCTTTAAATGTCCCCATACTAGTAATATATCATTATAATCTTCCTTCAATGCAACGTGAAATTACCCGGCCCAGAAAACGCTTTGCTCCGAGCACCGAAGTCTTGCTATCAACGGCTCTCTGCGGGAGTCATATTGTTTGGAAAGGTTATAAATGAGTAAGGTATTTTACCGTTCTAAGCAATATTTTCCATTTAACAAACCGGCTTTTTTAATACCAAGTGTCTTTTTGAGAAGTTCACTCTTAGAAGGGCGAAATATATATTTTTTTAATAGTGGGGAAATGATTTATTGCAGCCCAGAACGCCCTCAAATGAAATCTTAATGGCATTTATAAATAGAGCTCATGGAGGGAATCCCTAGCGCGTCGTTATCTGGTGCTTTACGATGACACATCGACTCTGATCACAAGGTAGACTGTTACATCATTCCTTTATTCCATCTCTTCAGATTGCTTGTCCCATATTCGCTGGCCTCCTCCACTTTTTCTTCTTGGCTGCTTTTGCCTGGATGTGCCTGGAAGGTGTTCAGCTTTACCTCATGCTCGTGGAAGTATTTGAGAGTGAATATTCGAGGAAAAAGTATTACTACGTTGCTGGATACCTCTTCCCCGCAACTGTCGTTGGTGTCTCTGCCGCTATAGACTACAAGAGCTATGGAACAGAGAAGGCGTAAGTATTCTCTCAGTGGTTGTTAAGCTGTTTGTCTCCATCTTTGTAATCAAAGCCTACCTTTTGAAAGGAAACTGTAATTTCACACAACCACACAAATGTGGAGCTAGTAAACTCAATGCTACCATAATACTAGTTGACAAATCTCCTCATTTCAACCTGAAACTACTAGAAAATACAAAACTGTCAGAAGTGTTGAACAAGATTAATTTCCAAGAGATGGTGTTATCGTCCTGAAGATACTAAAACTGTAAATTTCTGTTACTTGACATGAAAATATACATTTTCGCATGACCTACATCAGACAATTGAACCTTGTCACTAAAAGACTATGTAGAGCCAAAACCTTTTGAGTAGGAAATGGTTGTGTGCCATTGGCGTGATTTTCCTTTACTTTTGTTCTTGAGATGCAACTGGAATGAGAGGGTAATCTCTTCAGATAAAAGGGACTTTTGCAGTTGTTTTATCAGGTACAGATTTCCTCACTGGAAGATTTAATCGTATCTGTTCTTGTGGACAACAATACAGTTTTGGATTTCCCATTATTTTGTCTTCATGACAGGAAGATGGTCAGCAGGACAAAGAGAGAGTGTGAATTGCCCCAGTAGTGATGCAGACAGCAGTAAAAACCTGACAGAGGTTTTATGCCTTTCCTAGTCTAGTTGAAGCTAAAAAATAAAAGGTTTGGCTACATAGTACATACGCTTCAAATGTTTTTATGGTCAGGCTCTTTCAAGTGCTCTGCATAGACTCTTGGTATTTCCTTAATGAGTGATATCACCAAGGGTTGTAAACTGTAAAAAGCCAATTGAATAAAATGTAATAATATACTTTAACATTGTGTCTACTTTTCCACAAATTTTCTTAAAATGTCCCCATACTAGTTACATATCATTATAATCTTCCTTCCTTAAATACATCATGAAATTACCCAGCCCAATGACTATACATTACATATGCTTTAAATGCTTTTATGGTCAAGCAATTTGAAGTGTCTCTTCCAGACTTTTGGCAATGCCTTTATGGGTGATATCATTACGTTGTTGTTCACTTTTGGGAATCAAAACATTAAAAAGAAAGTAATTCCCACTCATTGGACTACTGCTGAACGTATGGCCAACTCACACCTTTATTCAATAAATAAAATTGCTCTGTTGAACATCATCAAGAAATTTGCAGATAAAAAGACCTGTTCCCTGAATGATATAGCCAATAGTTAATCAATTATCCAAACTATCTAAACTGCTTTTTGTTGGGGTGACCAGTTAGTCTGTGGAGGGAAAACACCAGGGGGAGTGCAAAAATTAGTTGTTTGTCATTGGAAGCACCATCCCTTAGAAATGTAATTATTACCAGCTAGTGATGGGACTTTCGATTGTGCCTCAGTTGGTAAACCCCACAGTTAAAATTGATCCAGATTTTATTTAATCATAATTAAAATTTACCACCTATGTAGTACCTAAATTATATTTTTATATATAAAAAATTGTGCAGCAAATTAATAATGCAAATTGTGCATTATATATATCCATTTTGAAGGTTTGTGGTTTCCTTTTAGTGTACAGCTGCTTTTTGCCATCATAATCGCTCGCTGATTTTTATACAACCAGTAAATTATATTTTTGTATTTGTAGTTTCCCTGATATCAGTCATATCAGCTGGGGTCATTTGGTCCTGAAGAAGCAGGGGATCCCATGAAACGTGTTGACCTTGACATCGACCAACGCTTATGCTTTGTATACGGCAGCTGTCCGATGCAATGACCCCAGCAATTTTACGTTTTGTAAATTGTGTTTATTGTGGTCACCACATAGGTGGTAAATTTTAATTATGATGAAATAAAATTTTGATGTATTTCAACTGTGTTGTTTGCCATTTGAGGCACAATCGAAAGTCCCATCACTATATAGCACTATATATCACTATGTAATTTCAGTTAGTCTGTGGTGCTTCTTCTTGTACTTCATTTACAGGGATGAGACTTCTGTATTGATGGAGGTTCAGTTAGATACAAATACAGTTTGCCACTGGGTGTTTTTCTGCCTCCAAGTGTAGTCATTCATGGGACAGACACTCACCAATGGTAGGTCAACAAGATAGAAGCAAGCTTGACAATTAGCCTGCCCTCATAGATGCCAAAATGAGGTTAAGAGGCACTCCCTTGATGGCATTACAGTTGCCTGTGCAAAGTCTGTTCTGTACCTTATACCAGGACTAAAGTAAAAATGCAAGTGGATCACCATTCAGGTTAGCAGGGCTGAAAAAATTGAAGATGGTGAAAAAATCTTTTATTGTAATTGCCCAAAAAAGTAATGAAACCTGAAAAGTAAAGAATGTGACAGTTTATTTACTTTTTTTTTTACTTCACGACGGAGTCCCTGTGAACACCTTTGTATTGCAAGAAGAAAAATGTGACAGCATGAGATTGTTTATCGGATCCCGTTGTGACAGCAGAAATGTACTTATATTAACAGAAAATGTATTCAGCCCATAACTTCAGAGCATGGAAATCGAGAAACCACTGCGTGAAGCCTAGACTGATAACTTTATGCATCATTTAGCCTAATATAGTGCATTTCATTTATTTCTTTATTTTTTTTTTTCCTCAAGTCCCACTTGGGTTATTTTTTAATGTCCTACTGGTTTGCAGCTGAACATGACAGCTGAACATTTTATGTGTCTTGTGTTCCGCTGAGACGCCTACTTTGCATATGCCATAAAGATGAAAGGCCAAACTTGAAGATTACAAAGAATAGCCTGGGCAAAAAAAAAAAAAATTTAAAATAAAGCCGTATTTTTATGGCAATTGCTCGGATCAGAGATCTCCTGCTGCAAAAAATCCAACTTTATAAATCAAACCATTTGTAAGGTAAATAAATTCTACTCCCATAAAGCAGTCAGATGGCTGTGCCGTGCTTGGTTGCAGGTCCCTCTTGTCTGCCTCGGAGAAAGATTCCCCAATACCCACATCCGTATTGGCATTGCGCTGCAAGGGGCGGGAGGGTTGGGGCCTTCTCTGTGAACTATGATTTCCAATCTCATTTGTATTAATTTTCTGCTTTCTCTTGAAAGGTGCTGGCTGAGGATAGACAACAATTTCATCTGGAGTTTTATTGGTCCAGTGGCTTTCATTATTTTGGTAAGGAGCTTCTCTTCCTTTTCATTTCATGAATCGTTCTGGTGATTTAATTTGCCATTTCCGCATATGGATCACATTAACAGGCAGAACAAAGCGCTGGGCTTCACTGTTTGTCTTTCGTAATGCAATGTTTGAAGGTTTGGCTGTCAAGGTGGAATTGTTTTTATGAAGTTTTCATTCCTTTGTCAGTTGTTGGTACAGCGGAAGACAATGAAATAATAGACACTGTAGAGGGAAGACAATTATATGTGTGCAGACACAACTTGATATTTTTATCCGTTTCATGTTAAAAAGATCTATCAGGATAGATGTATAGGAGCTGCATGTGTTTATGAAGGATCAGGCACATTGCTTTACTACTTGGTGACTCATTGACCTAGAATCAAGTAGGTTCTGACCTTGCTGGCTACATACCTGTTGTTGATCAGTGATTCCCCACTTTAGGGGTTTTAACCTTTTTTTTAACATTTACAAGCCCCTAATAGATTGGCTCTATATTCCCTTTGCCAGGCTGTTGAAATCATCACTACCAGTCTTATTACCAGGACGACTTCAAAGTATGACAATAGCTTTGTTTTACTTTAAATATGGATAACTAGAAACAAATCAGATGAAAGAAAATTATAAGAATTTTCATACACAAGATAGCTACAACTAGTCAACTAGTTAGTGTCGTGGTTGCTTTTGTTCAGCCAAAGTATAATATCAAGGTCCAATTACTGACAATGTTAACTAATTTCTGACATATCAAGTGCATTTCTCCAGTTCAGGTTCAGAAATGCAGAAAATCCTGTGCAGATTGCTTGGGGTTTTTTTTTTTTTTTTTTTTAAATCATTCAGAGAGCCAGTCCTGTACGTCTATTATTTGGTACCCACACTCCCTTGATTTGCTTCCCATACTCCAAAGGGTATGGATACAACTAGTTGAGAAACCCTGATCTAGATACTGAAGCCCCAAAAATGTGCCATCAGGTCAGCAAAAAGTTGCCAGTACTCCACTTGTGTAAATTTTTTGTGTAATTAATAAAATACTAGACTGGGGAAGAGTTAGAATGTCTGTACTCTTTGGTAAGTATTATGATCATTTGTCCCTCTCCACATGCACACACTGATTTTTATTTTCCAGCAAAACAGTGTTTCTTTTTCTCCCAAGAGCCTGCTCATTTCTATGTAGGGAAAGAGTTCTTGGGAGTAGTAGTTCTGGGGAACATGCCTAAATTAATGACTCACCTTGCAGAACAATGCAGCTGTGTCTGCAATAATTTTGCAAGCCTGGTGATGTTGTCACAGGGCATAATAAAACGTGTTTCTTGGTACAGAAGCCAAGTAAAATAGATTAAAAAAACTGTTACCTGTTCAAGAAGGGGAGCAAGGAAGGTGTGATGGTAAGTTTGAGATTACTTTTAACTTCATTATTGAACTTTCCAATGCTAGGAAGGCCTGGCCTTACATCGTCCAGAGAGTGATAAGTGTTACATTTGTTATGGTCTTGTGGTAGGAGTTAGAAATGGCAATGAGGCTAAATTTTACCGTTGGAGTCTCTGAGATTTATAATGCCAATGGTCAACTGAGTACAGTGGATCCCTGCTAGCATTTGAATATCCATTCTGATTTCCCTTCAGGAACCTGTATCAGATAGCTAAGAAATGTTACATTGTTAGTTACAATTTAGGATTTGAATTTATCTACGCAGTGGGATCGCTTGGAAGATGGAAAATGGTGGGATGGGAAAATGGTGGTGTATAAATGGTGGTAATATATGGCTATGGGACTCTATAAGACTTAGGCTGTGATAATGGGTATTGGGCTGATAGTGGCTAGAGGATCATATGTAAAACAAGGTAACATAGAAATGTGTATGTGTCATGGAAATATATGTTCCAATTCAGACCTGAAGATGTCACAATGGGCTATATACGTAAGCTCGTATACTAAATATTTGTGTTTGAACTTCCCATAGTCATTGTCGACAGTCTATTGAGACTGGTCTGTTTTTTCTGGGGCTGCTGCTAACCATCTGTATACCATTATAAAAGAGACAGCAGCTCATCATTCTGTCTTTTTATCTGTTTAGAAATATGACAAAGATTGGGTGGAGGTACATCCTTGAACTCTTAACTGCCTGCCGTACGCTTCTTAAATTTGTCTCTAGGGAGTCCTCAGATATCTCTTATTAAACAGGAACTTGGTCTCAGAATAAAAGAAGAAACATTAGAGATGGTTTTATCTATCCAGGCTATTTAAAAACAATAGACACGTCAGAGAAAAAAATGATCCAAGCAACAATGGGACCTCAAGTACTTATTTGTTTGGAGCATAGAAAAAAAAAAAAAAACACTAACTGAGCTCAACTAGCGTAAGCTTTAATTCTCATATAAAGCAGGGTTCTCCTTCGTTGGGTACCAAGGAAGTAACTCATCGCACATGAACACAACAAGAGCCAAATGTAAACAGTCTATACTGCTTTAATAATTAGCATTATAAAAAAAGGAATCACACAGCCAACTGATATCCGGGATCACAAGCCCCTCCTTCATTACAGTTTATAGCTTTTTTATAAAGGTCACAAGCCCCTCCTCCTTTGGTGTTTAATGATTAAAGCATTACTGTAAAAAAGCATTTCAGACACTTTGGCTTGGGCCTTCTTGTATTCTAGATTTAAAAAACCATATGTATTTTTTTTTTATTTTTAACAAAGCCTGACCAACATACATGCACTTTCTACAATAGCAAAAATATCAGATTTTTTTCTTTGATTTGCATGAAAAACATATATTAAGGGTCAAACAAGACCTTTTTATAATAGGAATTGTGTCTGCCGTAAGGGTTATCTGCCATTTTAAGTAGATGAAAGCACACAATACAAAAATAAAATGAGACTAAGACATTTGAGGTGACTGCGACATATGAAATCTGATCTGACTGGTCCCCAAGATACTATTTTGAGTTTTCATAATGATATTGTTTAGACTTTTTGTATTAACATAGGGTGGTTGCTACACTTTTAGTGTAAATTTTACTGGTGAGTAAAATTTGAGTTGAAGTCTTAATTTAATAAGCTCATTCCACCAGTTAATTTTTTGTTTTAATTATTTATTTATTTTTAATAGCACATAGAAATCTAAAACAAAATGCAAAAAAATAATGTATTAATCTGTCTTTATAATCCTATGACCTTAAACATCCATTTTTTAAAGAAATTGGGGGGGTTGGTCTTGTAGTATCGTTCTTCGTCCCAAAATATTATTTTGCTAATCTTATGACTTTATTTTGTAGCTCTAACACACACACACACACACGCACACACACTTCTCAAAAGGATCTAAAAATTCTTGAATTGGCCACTATCAGTTGAATTGCACTATTATTTACCAGCCAAAACATTATTATCCCAAAGCAAATAGTTTAGCCTGCAAGTGTAAGGCCATTGGGAGCTGTATTCCCAACCTCCGGAATGAAACAGCAGGTAGTAGTCAGATTGACGCTCTCAAGAGCGATTCCTCTTCTGCAATAGCTTTGACCTCTAATCGTCCTGGAGGCTCACACGTGATGTTACAGCATGTACAATCGTAGCTCAATCACCTTGACTTTTACTTGTGCATTTGGTTGGTTTTTGGAAGTTGCTGTGCAGATTTTAGATGAGCGATGAGAGCCTTATTTGATTTTGGGGGCACACGTTTCTCTTTTTTTATTTTGCATGCCTATAAATTACATTTTACATTGGTGGTAGAAGAAAAATACAGACAAATGTATAGTGTGTGTATGTATGTATGTATGTATATGTATATATATATATATATATATATATACACCACACACACACACACACACACACACAAACACACACACGCACCGCAGTATATATAACTGCAATTGAGGGTTGTAGTAACCATGAGCCATGGTAACCTGCTAGTAAGGGCAGTGTGGTCAAAAAGATTTCTTCCCTTTTACAACAGGACAACAGGCACCAAAAGGACACCGGCAGATTTATTTATATATATATATATATATATATATATATATATATATATATATATATATATATATATATATATATATATATATATATATAAATTTTCTAAGACGCGTTAGTTACCCAGACCTTGAAGTTTGCTGAGGTCTTCCCACAAATACTCAAACAGCGATGCCCAGAAACAGTACCAGTCCCTAGTTATATGTATGATGCACTGCTATGGGAGACTTAAAGATAAACTCTACACAGCTATAAAAAACCACAATGTATCCATTCTTGGACACTACTAGTCAAATAATCTTGATTTGACTTAATATTGGCCCACTGTAAATCAGTACTGAGACTGGAGAAGGAAGAGTAGAGCCATTATTGTAAGCCAATTATATGATGTCTATCTCCGAGAGCTTCCTAAAATTTGGACTTAACGCATTACAATTTTTTTTTGTTCAGCCTACAAGCTGAGCAAAAAAAAATCTAACACATTTCTCTCTCTTTGCTATACAGGTGCAATGGATGAACAGCGGTTGCATTTAATTGAAAGTAGCCACTCTTCAGCCAACAATTTTCCACCCTTTAATTTTTCAATTGAGGCAGGTCATGTAGGAGAGTGGTGACAGGACCCACCCACTGATCAAATACTGGCCAGTTCCTCATTTAAATTTGCACAGTTTGTGGCCAGCATTAGATGAGGGTAGAGCTATCTTACCTGTGTGTTGCTTCTCCTTCATTGTCCAGTCATAGGATGGGGTGGTCGTAAACCAGGCTGTGTTGTCCAACTGTACCATAGTCTGCAGAGAGGTCTCCAGGAATGCAGGGCTTGGTGTGTTTCTTGGCAAGAATATCTGAACCACAAGACTCAACAAAAATCCCAATAAATGATCAGGTAAAAAAGCCTTCCTGTTTAATGGGTTCAGTTTTTGCCATTTACCTAGACTTCAGATTTTATTTTGACCACTGCAAAAAGTTGCAGTTGAAGAATAGATTTCAAATCTTTTTGACTCATTCCCGTCCAAGGATTGCTAAGAGC